AAAGAAAAATCCACAGAGCACATTTCCAGTCATCAAGTCCACTGTTGGAGGCTCAAAGGTGAAGCTTTCGCAGAAGAAATTGGGAAGAAAGCTTCGCCTTCCCAATTCTGGAGTTGAAGTTGGGAAATTTCCAGTCAAAAATCTGGACTGGAACATCATTGGAATTTCTGGGCGAACTCCTTCTGGCCCAGCAAAGAAATCAGATCTGAACAACGATTACAAGTTGATTTTGGAACTGGTCATCGCCTGCCTCGAATGTGGGAGTGGAAGTCATGCCGATGACATCACCCAGGAGAGAGCCTTCATCATCAACGCTCTCATTACCAAAACTAAGGTAAACTGGGCTGCACACTTTTTCAATTCCATCTCAAAGCATTTGGGAAAGCCCAACCAGAAATATCTTTGTCAAGGACTATACCTTGGACATATCTTGGGGTCTATGGGTATTGCTTCTAAAGGAAAGAAGTATGGAGAAAGATACTGGCTATACTACTTATCCTCCAAAGGAGAAAACAGAGCCAGTGCTAGTACCACTGCAGAAGATAGCTCATCAGATAATGTCCTACTCATCCATATGGCAAAGACTGCCAAAAGAAAGCAAGTGGTGTCCCCTTCTCCCTCCATTGAAGCACCACAGAATCTTGCCTTGGTATGTTTGGAAGAAGAAGAAGAAGTCTCTGACCATGGAGAACTTCAAAGGAAGAAGAAGAGAAAGATCAACTCTTCATCAACATCCAAAGATATCGATTCGGATGAGTTGAAGGAGAAGGAAACTGCTGAGGAAACCTCTATTCAAAACCGGAGCCCTCAACAATTTGAAGAAGAAATCCCTCCAGTCCAAAGCCTTCCAACCTCATCTCAGCCTCATACAGATGATGCTGACAACAAATTCTGGCAGCTCTACTATAATTGGAGAGCTTGGAAAGTTGGAAATTCAGAAGAGCAACTGTTGGATTGGGACCAACAGCTGAAGAATGAAAATATTATCAAGAAATGCCTAGGACTACCAGTCAACCACTGCTGTGAAGACATCTTGGATGACTACTGGGTATGGCAAAGGAACAATGAGGATCTGCATTTGGAACACTTGGCCACTACACCAGTTTTAGACATTGAAGCAGATGATGAAGATACTGCAGTCTACAAGCCAGTCTTCTCAAAAGCCACAGAAGATCAAATGGCTCCCACTTCTGAAGAAATAGCTGTTTTGGAAGCAACAGTTGAGGATTTCTCTATCTTTACGGAAACCTCACATGCGTTCGAAATGGTTCTGACTGAAACTGTTCAAGAGAAGGCAGCCTCTTCCCCACAAGAGTAGAACCAGGAAGCAACTGAAGAAGAAGAATTTCAGCGACTGATCCAATCTCAAGTGCTCGAGATCCTCACAACTCCTTGTGAGATCTCCAATCAGACACAACTTGAGATTCTTGAAAAGTCAGCAGAAATTCCGGAACAGTTAGCTATTCCAGAAATTATGGAGAAAGAAGTAGAAGTCCAAAGGCACTCTGGAAAAGCTGAGAAGGAATCTCAGATGGCAGAAGAGGAGGTCTCTCAAACTCCAATAGCCATTTTTGAAGAACCAAATGAAGCTGAAGATAGTGACTCACTCTCAAGATACATATCAAATTTTGCACTTGATGAAGCAGAAGGAGAATCT